AAATAGTCTTTCCTTGACATAATCCCAGGTCTAATTCTATGAATAACGCCCCCTTGGATTAGTTTGGTCCAGGCGACAAATAAGGTTCATCATGTAATGTGACCACGTAAAACGAAAGGCTATAAGGGTTTCTATCCAGCGACCTCGGTGGGGACCATTATATGTGAGCTGAAGATGACAATGGAATGCCAAGTGCGACAAAAGTGCAGAGTTTGATGGGAAATTCACGATCATCACGAAGCGAGTCGACGCAATTCCGCTCTCCATTCACATAGTCATTTTTCCTGGAACGACGGACAGCGGGCTAAAACCGTCGACGAACACTTAGCGTTGGAAAGACTGCGATGAAACCCAGCAAAGGCCGACTGACAGCCTTTTCTGAGTAGCACGACGTCTTGCCGTTCTCTCCATGAATACCAAACATAACTCTGTTCATCGAAAAGCGGAAAAGGCCACGACGTTTACTAAATGGTGAAAGCTAAAAAAAGCTTTGACCCACAAGATTAAACTCGTCTTCGGCCTTGGAAGGCCAAGTATAGTCTTTTCAATGGCATCATAATGGACAAGAAGTAGCAGAGCCCTTCAGTTGAGCTATAGGATGAGTTATTCGGGAATTACGTGACTCATGGATACATTCCGCTGTGGAAGAATGGATGACGTGCCCAAAAGTGGGTGGACCACTCAAAAAGCTTCCCAGCCGTCACTGGAATCGGGAAAAGGGCATTCACTAGAAACTATATGGCATTCAGGGTCCAATTAGACGCATCTTCCTCACATGCCCAACACGTGAGTGTGAGAGAAGTTGTGGTGATTCTACGTAATACTGCCAACAGGAATATGCGGAGAAAATAAGCTAGCTCGGGACAACCATAAAAGCACTATGATTCCATCATTCCGGAAGCTGACAGAAAACTCGAAGTTATCTGCGTGAAGTAGCTGGTTCTAATATAGTCCTGGTTCTAACGTGCTCGCTGGAGCATTAGGACCTTTTGCCAAAATTAAAATCAACCCACAGAAACTATTTTGTTTCAGTTGCTATTGTTCTCCTAGCTGCATCACCTTTCAGACATCAGGTCAAATCTTCGTTTCTGTTGATCCTTCAAAGTCCTTCAAATGGCTCCTCCTCGTCATTAGCCCTATAAACTACACCGAAAACAGCATTTAGCTTTCGGTAACCCTCAGTAGCAGAGCTAAGGAGGATATAACAAAAGCTTTTGGGATCCAGGGTATTTTGAGTAAGTTCATAGATGCCTCCGTGGTGATGAGCAATGTACCACACCATAAGGGCTGTTGCAGGTCTAAGGGGGGGGGGGAAGGAAACATGTGGGAACGAACAGCCTCGCTTTTTAATTCCGTGCAGATCAGAACCATCCAGATTTTACATAAGCAATCGCTCGAATACTTCTTCTAAGGTGCTCGGATCCCTTTAAGAAGTTTTTGACCGAACCAATAAAAAACTATGGAAAAGCTGTGAACGGCGCTGTTTAGCGACGGGGGGCATTTTGTACTAACATTGCTTCCCTAGTTCCGGTTTACGAATCTCACCATGGTAAAACTTGTGAACGCCTGTGAAGCTGGAGTAAGATCGTCTAGCCACCATCCTAAAACGTGTCAACTCGAGAAAAGGCTACCTAGATGGGTCGGCACATCTATGAAAAGCCGAATGCCCCCCCCCGTCGACAAACTGCGCCGCTGCGAACCTTTTAATCCCTTGGGACACACCAACTTCCAGGGCCATCATCATGTAGGGGTTACACTTCCACTCCTCTGTGGAGGAATTAATGGCTGGCAGCACTGAGATGGGACTAATCGCTTCATCCTTTTCTCCGCCTACCAGATTATCGCGGAATATGCCTTTGAGGGGCTGGAAGTATGTATGTGGATTAGGGAGTACTTGCACCAACTCGCTGAATGAATATCTTCGAATTGCTGCGGTGCAAATTACCATTCGGTTGAATGTATAGTTGGGTAACTGCGAGGGAAATTCGTTTGATGTCACTCATGAAATATTCAACTGAGGCTGATTATTCTGGCGTTTTCTTTTCGTCTTTGAGAATCGAGATACTCATAGCGGATCATCGCGGCTTCAGCACTTCCATTCTCATAGTCAAGCTCTGCTTTTCGTTCGGAGCAGCCAACAGTCGCAGAGTCCCGTCATGTTCGATCCCTCTACCAGCGAAAGATCCCTCCCCCTCCTGCTCCCCCCCCCCGGGTGGGTTTTGTGCTACATGCTGTACCCTGCATATGAGTGTTAGTTAGCGGCGGTGCCACGGACGCCCTGAACTGCCCCTGATCTCACTACATTTAGTAAGGCTTTCTCTGCAAACTGTGTCAAACTGGTCTGCCCGAAATATAGCCAAATGTTTCTTCTTGGTTCCGACTAAAGCGCTAGAAAGACCGAAAACAGAAGAAATAATCATTTGGGTCCGAATGCGATGGAGTCAGCCAAAAAACAGCTGAATCATTCATTTCTGCTGACTGCGTTTCAATAAACAACTTAGAACAACCCCTTAGAGCGCGCGACTAAATGCATTGTATAAGATAAACTCGCTCAGTCCGTGACGGATGATCAATAAGAGTATATGGGTCGGTCAGGTGCCCGATGCTTTTATCTCCCATCCTGAGCCGTCTCGGACCGTTTCATCTACCTTAGTCCACTAAGCTCTCGCTGTGGCGCCGAACTGGTTGATGGAACAACTTTAGGTCACGGGTCTTGGCGCGGAGGACTCTAAAACCCAGGTTTCGGACCTCGGTCCTAGATAATGCAAACTGTGTGTACAGCAGGAGTCGGAATCTAGCAAGTACGATCTTACGGCGCTATCTCACCCTGCATTCCCACCTGTATGTCTTAAAGCAACAGTATAGTACGCTGCATACAACAATTGAGCGGCTGTAGTGAAGACAGGTCCACCGGGGCCCTCCAGACGATCCTCGGTCGGTTCCCGCCGGCGCTCCGGAACAGCCTCGTGGGGCCCCAGCCGAACGTTGCGGGACTTGGCCAGTCGATTGCCGTGGTGGGCCGTGAAACACCGCTAATGATCTTCCATGCTCCGTGCCGCACTTCAGTGCTTTTTCACGGCGCAGATTCCCGCGCCGTTCATAAGATCCGTCGTAAGCAGACAGGCCTTGTCCCCGCAGGGTCTGCTGGCTCCTTGCGCACTTCTCCGCATGGGTCCTCTATTACGAATCGCGTGCTCACGCACTCTACTTATCGCATGGACTGCACATTTCCTCGATGCTGCGGGCTATAACAATAGTTGGACCCGGGTGGCTACAAAATAAGAGCAGAAGATGCCGTGTATGAGCGGGATGACGTTGCAGAACTTTAAAAAGCATAACTGTGCCACTTTCTGCAAACATCCCTACGGCAAGGCCACCTCGTATTTCCTCACGAAACATTGAAAATAAAAAGCATACTCGTTAGTTTTGATTACAAGTAAAAACCTCAATTGTCGCTTAATGGGCGAATAAGTTGACGGTGTTGCTCTATGCTTCAAAAGTCCATGTTACAAGGAGGATGACAGATGACACAGGCTAGAAATGAAGCACAAGCGATGTAAATGTAAACAAAACAAAAATGAAAAAATCAAGGAAAGGCAAATTAGATAAACTGGCCTGTAAATTTCTACGATCCGGCGCCAAAGCCATAGAAATACTTAGAACAAACGAGTGGGACGCTTGGACTTGTTTGGTTATTTTATGTTTTTGTGTACTGTGCGCGGCCCCTTGATGGATACTGCAGATGCAGCCGAGTTGCTCTTGAGTTCTGACCCTCGTCATCATCTTCTGCTCTTATTTTGTAGCACCTCCAATGTTATCCGCATCAGGAAATTGCGTTTTACTTGTATTTGAGAGCGCAATTAAAGGACTTGGCAACAGTGCCAAGGACCCGCATGGCCGTGACACCGCGCGCTTACGACGGAATGTTATGAAGGACGGGAATCTGCGCCGCAAAAGGTGTAAGGCGGAGCATGGAGGAACTAGCGTGTTTCACGGTCCTGTATCTCCATTCCTGGGCATGTTTGGGCGGGGGGACCACGACACATCGACATCTGGGGGGCTGATAGTCTCATACACCCTCAATGTGTATGAGCGTACCATGTGTCTTTAAAGCTCCGCTAACTCATGTGTAACCAAGCTAATAAGGGCTGCGGGAGAGGGGATGAGGTGGGTATCGTGGAGATCAGCGGCGCATTCCTCGCTCACGGTCTAAGAGTTAAAGGCAGCGCCCGCGTTCATTTGTTGTTCCCACGCCCTCTTTGGATATCGTAGCTCACCCTATGAGGATGGTGGACGTACTAGTTTCGCAACTCAAAAATGCGAGAGAATAGCGGCGCCCGCTCGTGAAGAGTCGGCCACCCCGCCCACCTGGCGACCACTACGCCCAACTTCATTTCTAATGGTTGCCTGATGGTGCGGTTGTTCTGCTACTAACTCTCTCCACTTCGAATGGTGAGAGTGAGGTGATAAGGGAAAACAGCTGATACCAACAAGTGAGAACTCGTGCGGCCGCGCCTTCTCTTCGCCTTGAGCACGTACAACCTCAGCTCGGCGTGGGGTCCTATATAGGGCATATCCGATGATTTTTTTGCATTTTTCTTCACTAATGAACTACTTGCTACCTTGTTGTCACTGTCTGAGCCCCATAACTCATCAAATTGAACGCGGCTGCCTTTAAATATAATGAAGGCTTTAGCCTGAGCCAGTCAAGCTCTCCACGGTAACTTACGTTTTCCGCAAGATTTAGCCAGCATTACCGTGACGTGAGAGTTTTTTTCAGCTGATCATATAAATGCCCAAGGAAAAACTCTCAGTGCAGATCTCGTACTCATGGTAGCCTTCTATTTTATGGGAGACTGGCTTTGTGTGCCGGTTTGATGGCCGCTCATTGCTAAAGGCACATCATATCAGCACGGTGATTCGTGATTTTCTGTACTCGGTCGTTATCACATGGAGTAGCACTTATCCCGAGTAATGCTTCTGGTGTGGTTCATTCAATAATGCTTGACTTCCTCAAGGATGCTGCTCGTGAGTTGTACGACCTCTTGTTCGGTTGGAAAGAAACCATTCTGATTGTATACGAGGTGGATAGCGGACTACTGTGCTTTTCCCACTAGTGTGCCCTCTTTCACATGCAGTAACAAAGCGATAAAGCGTAGGATGCACCAGCAAACAAGGCGCGCTAGTACCCTGCCGCCGAATTTGTCTTCAGTCAGCGTGGATTGCGCCCTCAAACCTGAGTAGGTGCCAAATCTGTTGGCTATTAGAGCATAATAGCTTCCAATGAACAACTCCTTTCAGTTTCATCCGGTGCTAAACTAAAGAACGGAGCATGGAAGGCGAAAGAGGCACACGTCGTTTATAGACGTTCAGATACGTTGGAAGAGAATAGACAAAGCAGAGAGAAAGCATTTGTGCGAGTGAAAGTCGGAAAGGGTTTAGTTACTCGCGCTGAGTATTAAAAGACACTTAAGTACCCTGTTTTTGTGCTTCACAGCACATTGAGGGCTGAATTGAGAATATCAGCCCCTCCTAGCTGTGCATCGTTTCGTGGTCCCCGCCGCCGAACATGCGCAGAGAATTGGAATAACAAGGACCGTGAAACAACGCTCAGTTCTCCAATGCTCCGCTAATCCTTTTTGCGGCGCCAGATTCCCGTCCTTCATAAACTATCCGTTCGTAAAAGCGCGCTGTCGCGTGCCGCTCTTAGCACAATTTTGCCAAGATGCCTTTTAATTGCGCTTTCAAATACAGTAAAACGCAATTTTCTGATGGGATAATCCTTTGGGGATGCTGCAAAATAGAACAGAATAATATAGGGTCAGTAAACTTAAAAGCAACTCGTGGGCCACTTCTGCAACATCCCTCGAGGCCGCGTAATGTCCACGAACATAGATAAAAACGGAAATAAATACTTTGTTAGTAGCAGCAAAAACGCAAATTTCCTGATGCGAATAAAATATGAGGTGTTGCTCATGCTTCAGAATCCATGTACAAGGAGATGAAGATGACGCAGGCTAGAAATGAAGCACAGCGAATGTAAATAAATAAAACAAAAAATGAAAAAATCAAGGAAAGGCAAATTAGTTAAAATCGCCTGTAAATTTCTACGATCCGGCGCGAATCCGGCGCCAAAGCCATAGAAATACTTAGGACGAACAAAAGTCGGTGTGTGGGGGCCGATTGAAACAGCGTCGCCGTTAACAACGCGTTGTATTTTTTTTTTTTTGCATAGAGATTTCGCAATACTGAAAGTACTCGCGATGGGCTATCTTCTGAGCTAGCTAGCTCTAAATTTCCTTTCCTGATCTTCCCACAATAAAGCAGTTGAAATGTATATAGTCACCACCACCGCCGATTTTGAACTAGGACCACTATCAACCGGGCATTCTCTCATACGTTCCATGCCAACCAGATGCGTGCATTTGTGATAACCACCCGTTCTAAGAACTGGATTCAAATGAGGGACTCGCTTCACCATTGAAATTATTCGGCTTGGCGGCATCGAGATATGGCCGAGGTTCTGGTTCTTCTCGTCACGGCGTCGTCTGCATCTAATCTAGCATCCTACCCCAATCAATGCGACAGTGACGGCAGAGACCCTCTCTAAAAATTGCAGGAGGTCAAGGTGAAAGCTGCCGCCTTGTCCCAGAAACTTGCAAATCCGTGGTTGCTCTGAGACAACGCGCGCCCCCACAAAGCGAGAGATACTAAAAAGCGCGCGTCCTGCAGGCTAGTAATTCAATACACCGCATTCTCTACCGATATACCCCGACATTAATACCCATGCGATACCGACAATCTCCGGCCTCCATCGCAAATTTCTTGGACGGAAAACAGCTGAAGAACGAGCGCGACCTCGAGGACGTGATCGAGGACTGGGCCGAGTTGCGGCCGCCGGCTTTTAGGAGGATGAAGTTGCCTCTCTACCCGATCGTTGGCGAAGGTAGTGGGTATGCATGGAGATTATATCATGGACCGGTAAGTTCAACTTGGTGAGATATCTTTACCAGCTCTGAAAAAACGAATGGCCAACGAACTTTGTGGACACCCTAATACTTAGCACAAACGAGTGGGACGCTTGGACTGTTTTTATTCCCATGTTTTGTGGGAAGCGCGCCTCTGATGATATTCGCAGATGCGGCCGAGTTGCTCTCTTGAAGTCCCTGTCATCATCTTGTTCTTATTTTGTAGCACCTCCAATGTTATCCGCATCAGGAAATTGCGTTTTACTTGTATTTGAGAGCGCAATTAAAGGACTTGGCAAAGTGCCAAGGAGCCGCACGCGACACGCGCGCTTACGACGGATGTTATGAAGGACGGGAATCTGCGCCGCAAAAAGGCATTGGGCGGAGCATGGAGGAACTAGCGTGTTTCACGGTCCTGTATCTCCATTCCTGGGCATGTTTGGGCGGGGGACCACGACACATCGACAGCTGGGGGGCTGATAGTCTCATACACCCTCAATGTGTTGAGCGTACCATGTGTAAGTAGCAGGTCTTACCTTGGTGAGGCCCTGTAAGCTCCTGTGAAGCTGCACAACACTGTAGGTGAGCCAGTCTTATTCACGTGAATGTACAGGTCTTAATACGGTTATTGTACAAGGCTCGCTGAGTACTATTAGGTGCCACACTAAGTCCAAGTGCCTTACTACGTACTTATCCGTTTCAGTTGACATTCGAGATGCAGTGAGAGAACACCGAGCAAGTACGTGGAATCCGGCTGCGCATTTATTTCATCCTCAAAATTAGAATTTGCGACTGTTTTTAAGGAAAAGCTTCACAGGAACAAGAAGCCGAAGAGAAAGGTGACGCAGCTGAGAAAAAGGAACCAAAATAGTGATCGTTTCGTAGGATAATGCGTAAATAAACAGTACTGGAAATTTACTAATAAAGTCCGAAATGTTTTTTCTCCAGTTACAGCCATACAGATAGAGTCTTCTCTCCTATTTGGCTCACCGAATTTGAAGGCAATTGTATTGCCACTCCCAGTCGGCGTGCCTGTGTGGTTTCGTTCGACCTAGGCGGCGGCTTATAGTGATACTGTCATTTTGGGAGAATTCTAATCGAAGGTAGAGCCCTTGGTTAGATATTCTGATAGAAGGGCTCACATAGGAATGCCAAGATGCTAAGTAAGTCAGTGGTGGAGTAAAAGAAGGAAACATCGCCAATGCCTCCAAATAAATCCGTAGCGAACGCGTTTGCCCGAAGAGAGGGCGTGCAGCGGGTGTCGTGGGAAAAGATCACCTAACAGGGGTGTTTTGGTCGTTAAGGTAGACATAACTAGTCCCAGCTGACTTCTTACGAGCAGCAATCGCTCTTCCTACGTTATCTGGGGATCTCGTGTTATAAAGACAGGGCAGAGCGGTAGGAGGGGCCATTGAAGGTGGGTGGAGCAGGCGGAAGGAACGCTTGCTCAGGACTCGTCAGGCCGTTTTGCGCTGCGGAAGTGATGCATCCGCTATCACTGCAAAGCGGGCTATTTGCTCGT